TTTTTTTGGTCCCAATTTAGGCTGAGTTAATGGTGAAATTTTGTCTCAATAATAAGGCACAATAATTATTTTTATTTTGAGATAGGGTCTTGTGTAGCACAGTATGGGGCCTTTGCATTCTAAAGAGGAACTGTACCACTGAGCTATTCTCCAGCTCTATTGACCCATTGCTATAATCTCCAATTTTTTATTACTGGTTTTCTTTTCCTACCAGGTGAACACACAGGACTTCAGAGGGCTGGTTCAGGAAGATGCTGTTCTCTACCTGTTAGAAATCCTCAAAGGTGAAACCGTGACCATTTTGGCTCAGAGCCGAGTGGATGGTGAGCAGATTTTATCATCTCGTTTACTTGAGGGAAGTCGGGAGGAGGAAAGAGGTATTTTAGAACCAGAATAGGCAACATTGGGTCATGGGTCTAAGGAGAAAGTTTTGGTGCTGTTCACTTCGTATACAAATGCTTTTCGTGCACAAATGTTTATGTGTCAATTTGGAGTTTAATTGCTTTTCTGAACAATGGTAAATCCTTGGGATGGAGTTCTCCAAAGGTGAAACCGTGACCATTTTGGCTCAGAGCCGAGCAGATGGTGAGCAGATTTTATCATCTTGTTTACTTGAGGGAAGTCTGGAGGAGGAAAGAGGTATTTTAGAACCAGAATAGGCAGCATTGGGTCATGGGTCTAAGGAGAAAGTTTGGGTGCTGTTCACTTCGTATACAAATGCTTTTCGTGCACAAATGTTTATGTGTCAATTTGGAGTTTAATTGCTTTTCTGAACAATGGTAAATCCTTGGGATGGAGTTCTGGGGGAGATGTTGTTGAGTCCACACATGACATATCAGCTCCTCTTAACCCTCACAGTCTGACAGGTTGCTTTGCTTTTAGGCCCTCTCTCACCTGTAAAGTTGGGCTGAGAATAGTTCCTTCTTGTGTCCGAGGGTTATCAGTTGTCTAGGCATCCCAAATGCATCAGATTGACATGTAAAATCAACCAGCACAGCACCCCAGGAAGCCTTTCTTCTTCATGGAGCTGTGATACTCATAAAACCCATGTATTGGGCCACTGAAAGTGGGGACGGGGAAGGGAGTGTTCAGAGACTGGAGAAGGTGGTGACAACCCAGCAAGCAGTGCTTTTGTCTCCCAGTGTACAGAGACATCCTGGCTTGTGGCAGGGGAGATTCGTTTTTCATAAGAAGCCACTTTGAATGTGAGAAGGAAACTCCACAGAGTCTGGCCTTCACCAGGGGAGAGGTCTTCCGTGTGGTGGACACACTATACAATGGCAAGCTGGGCCACTGGCTGGCTGTGAGGATTGGAAATGAACTGGAGAAAGGCTTAATCCCTAACAAAAGCAGGTATCTAAGACTATATACCTATAGGGCCCTTTTAATACCCCAACAAAAAGCAACAGAACTCCCCAAAGGAATCCCATATGACTTCATTTGACAGGGTTTGTTGTTTATGGGGACCAGGCTGCAACTGCTGGAGTGTAAGCATCAGACGCTTGGTTGTTGCATGAGGCTTATTTGAGGATTGCTTGAGGAGTGCTGGCTGTTTTGCACATAGGAACACTGTGTGGCTATAGTACCCCAGCATGCCTCTGGTCTCTATCCTCAGGAGACACTTATACACCCCAGTGAACACTTGCTGGTGGGTGGCAGTGTGGAAGAAGACCTGTTTTTAGCAGGTGTTCCAGGCATGTTTACTGCATTTATGTGTCCCAAAGGAGCCAAATGCGGTATGTTCTGAGCTACTTCTGGTGAATTTCAGAGACCCTGACCATATTAGTTACTTTGTTCATTGCTATAACAAAGTACCTGACAGAAGCAATGCAAGGAAGGAAGGTTTTGTTTTGACTTAAGGTTTAAGAGCAGAGCAGTCCATAGCAGGGAAGGTTTGGCGGCAGCAGTGTGAGGTAGATGGACACATTGCATTTGTAGTTAGGAGACAGAGAGATGAATGCTGTGCTCAGCTTGCTTTCTCCTTTGTATTTAGTCTGGACCCCATCCCATGGGAAGGTGCCACCCAGATTCAGGGTGATAGGGTGATCTTCTCAGTTAAACCTTTCTGGAAACACCCTCAGAGATTCATCTAGGGTATGTTCCCATAGTGATTCTAAATCTAATCAGGTTAACAATGAAGCTTATACACTGCCTTTTCTGTCTCCTTTGGGCAGTGGAAGGCCCCCATGCCTCCCTCCCCCGATTTCCTTTATTGTCAAGCTGAGTCTTCCCTGAACCAAGGTCTTATGTAGAACTGACTAGATCTCAATGACCTGTGTATATGCTGTGCTTCCTGGCTGTGGAGACTGACTTCCCATGGCTTCTTTCTCTCAGAGCTGAACAAATGGCCAGTGTCCAGAATGCACAGAGAGACAACGCTGGGGACAGAGCAGACTTCTGGAGAATGCGGGGCCAGAGATCTGGGATGAAGAAGAACCTCCGGAAGAGCCGGGAAGACCTAACAGCCGCTGTGTCAGTTAGCACCAAATTCCCAGCTTATGAAAGGGTTTTGCTGCGGGAAGGTGAGGCAGCCACATGGGGTCCAGCCCACTGGGCTCTGAGCCTGTTTTCTTTTTTTCCGACTCTTAACAGTCAAGTTCCAACTTCACTTGTGTCACTTAGAGCTCAGGTATTGAAGGAATCATACTCAACTAGGAGCCTGCACTGTTCATATTCCTCAGTGGAGGCAAAATTTTGCAACCTAAAACATATTTTAATACTGGCATTGAAAAGTTTTTGCATGCTACCCATTGAATGGGGATACAAAGTAATACAGCATCAAAGAATAAAAAATGAAGTCTCCATTACAGTTTATGGTTGGGGAGGGGAGGGAAAACATGTTTCAGGAAAGAACTGGATTTGGTTGGAGATGGGAGGATTTGGTTTTTTCCTTTGAGTTGAGTTTTTCAGAAGTGTAATTAATACATTTGGCTTCTTGTCCCAACAGCTGGTGGAGGGTCCGTGCTTCAGTGACCTTTCTTGTTTTATTTCAGCTGGTTTCAAGAGACCCGTGGTGCTGTTTGGCCCAATAGCAGATATAGCAATGGAAATGTTGGCAAATGAGTTACCTGACTTGTTTCAAACTGCGAGTAAGTCTGTTAATGATATTTTGCTCCCAGAGTTTTTATTTTGAAATTTTCCTAACACAGAAAAGGTAAAGAATAATGAGCTTCCGTATGTCCTTTCCCCGAGTTACTGTACTTTGTTAGATGTACTTTCCTTCTACCATCACCTGTCCAGATACAAGACAGATCCCTTGAAAATGGTCTCCTGAGCCACTGAGGTTTAAATCATGGTGTTACGAGACTATCCCTGAGTACACATGTGAATTTCCTCATACAAGAAAATGTTTTATACAATCACAACACCATTGCCAGCCACCTTAGTGGCCAAGAGAATTAACATTATGTTATAGGTTGGACATTTCTAATCTGAAAAGTTCTACAAATTGAAACATAGTAGCACAAGTGGAAAATTCCACACTCACCTTCATGTGACTGAAAGTGCTTAAAATGCAAGTGTGCTGATGTACTGTATAAAATTACCTTCAGTCTGTATGTGTGAGGTAGACATGAAGCAGAAATGATTTTTATTTTATTTACTATTTTTATTTTATGTGTATGAGTATAATACCTGCATGGAGGGAGGTGTACCCGGTCATCCAATTCCTGAGGAGGTCAGAGGTCAGAAGAAGACAGCAGATCTCCTGGAACTGGAGTTACGAATGGTTGTTAGCTACCATGTGGATGCTGGGAATCAAACCTGGGTCCTCTGCAAGAGCAGTCAGTGCTCTTAACTGCTGAGCCGTCTCACCAGTCCCCCAATTTTTAGTTTTTTAAGCAGAGTCTCAGGTAGCCTGGCCTGGCCTCAAAATCACCAGGCTAAGGATGACTTTGCATTTCTGATCCTCTTGCCTCCATCTCCCAAGTGTGGTTGGCATTATAAGAATATACCACCGTGCCTGGCTAAGTCATAAGTGAATTTCATATTTGCACTTGGGTCTCATTTTCTAGATTTCTCATCCTAAATGTTATATATGTGCAAATAGTAAAAAATCTGAAGCACTTCTGGTCCCAAGCATTTTGTTTCTTTCATAATTTGGGAATATCCCTTGTTGATGGCTTTTTTTGGTCTTTTTGAAACAGGGTCTCTCTGTAGCCCCAGCTGTCTTGGAACTCACTATGTAGACCAGGCTGGCCTTGAACTCACAGAGATCCACCTGCCTCTGCCTCCCGAGTGCTGGGATTAAAGGCATGCGCCACCACACCTGGCCCATAGCTGCTGTTTTTTGACTTTTATATATATATATATATATTTCTAGACCGCTCTCATTTTTGATATGTGATTATGTTTAATTATCTTTTCTTACTGTGGAATATCTTGCTAATTATCCCCTTTGTCTTAATCTATCTAATTAGATAGCAAAAAGCACCACTACCAATCACACATATACAGCAGTGCCAGTCTTGTGTTTCTGAGTAGGTGTTTAAGGGCAATCCTGAATCCAAGTTTAGTCTTATATAATAAAGAATTTAAAAGGTCTCACTTGCTAATGTATCTACTACGTTGATTTTTAAAACATCTGAACTTACAGGCCAACTATAAAATGTGAGAAATGTTAAATATTCTTTATTTGATACTATGTGTAAACAACACTAAAATGCCTTTCAGTAGCAAAAGTCAGCATCTTTGGATATAGGGAATTCTAAATTGGCAAAGTCAAGAACTATATAGCCAGTTGTTTCCTTATCTTTAACTACTGCCTGTTAATGGGCCAATGAACATAAAGTCAAACACAGGTGAATCTTTTGCTTGGTTCTAAGACAGTGAAGAAAATTTCCCCAATGTTTAAACATATGCATATAACCAGTTATATGACTCTAAGTATAAAACCAATCTTCAATAGGTTTTGAGGAAGCATTCTCCATCCCTGTGAAAAGTTGAACATTGCTAATTACGTCCAGTCATCTCTTTTAGAAGGGGAAAGCAGTGGTATTTTTGGAACTGGAATTATTTTCTTAAAGAAAGGTATTTACAACCTGGTATGGTGGTACGTGCCTTTAATCCCAGCACTTGGTAGGAGAGGCAGGTGGATCTCTGTGAGTTCCAGGCCAGCCTGGTCTACATAGTAAGTTCCATGCCAGCTGGGGCTACAGGGAGACCCTGTCTCAAAAAAAAGATGCTTACTTTACAAGCCAATTTTACTTAAATCAGTGCTGTCCAACAGAAATATTCTGTTAACCATTCATAATCTGAATTCTGGTGTATGAATTAGGTTATGATATACATTAACATCCATGAGACATTTGTTTCAGAATAAGTCAGTGAATGGCTATTATTAATTAGGGGCCTTTTTAAAAAATAAATCTTTAAAAATTATTTTTATTTTGTGTGTATGAGTGCTTTGCCTGCATGTGTATAAGTGTACCCATGTCACCCAAAACCCTCAAAGGCCAGAAGAGAGTGTTGGATCCCCCTGGAACTGGTGTTATGGACGGTTGTTAGCTGCCATGTGGGTGCTGGGTATTGAACCAGGTTCCTAAGCAAGAGCAGCCAGTGCTCTTAGCCACTGAGCCATCTCTCCAGCCCCTTATTAGTAGCTTTTTATGAGCTATTAGGTCTGCCCTTTTTCCCTTCTTCTTAATTCTGGTGAAGATAATTTTTGTTCTACGAATGTACTTTTTGGAATTTTCCAGTTCCTGCATCAGTGTGTTCTATCCCCAGGTGATGCTTCTGTTCTTGTTGCTATCTGTGTAGGAGAATCCAGTACCTGACCTGTCTTCAGCCCAGACAGACCATGGACATTCGGTCCAGTATTGTGCTTGCCTCTCTTTCCCACAGTGTGGCACCAGGCACTCTTCTGAACAAAAATCTTGCATTTCTCAATATCACCCATTTTTAATTCCCTCACTGCTCTCTGTTATCACTATGTGCCAAAGCTGGCCATCCTGCTCTCTGGCCTAGATCGCTCTTTTAAAAAATATTACTCGGGACATAGATATTTGGAGCATACAAGCCAATTGGCTCAAAGAGTATTCCATGGCAGACTCACCTGGCTATTTCTTTATGACTAGATTTCCATTAAATAGTACTGGGGATATAGCTCAGTGGTAGGGTGCTTACCTAGCATGCATAAACCCTGGAGTTTGATGCCTAAAGCACACACACGAATATGTACACACACATGCACGCATGCACACAATTGGCTTGGATCCTTCTGTTGCTTGTCTTGAGGTGATGTCTAATGCTAGCTGTTCCATTATTGTGCTGATGCTGAGTTGGAGCATTTGGTTGTCACTGGTTTCCACAACTTTACTTAGCCCCATTTTTGTTTTTGCAGAAACTGAACCCAAAGACGCAGGATCTGAGAAATCAAGTGGAGTAGTTCGATTGAATACTGTGAGGCAAATTATTGAGCAGGTGAGAAAACTCATAGAAGGCCATGTTGTCAGAATTGGCTCATGATTTGGTTTATTTATTATTTTTATTTTATATGTATGAGTGTTTTCCTGCATGTATGTAAGTGTACCACATGCATGCAATGCCTGAAGAAGCCCAAAGAGGGCATCAGATCCCCTGGAACTGGCATTTCAGATACTGTTAGCCACTATGAGGGTGCTGGGAACTGAATCCAGGTCTTCTGCAAGATTAGCCAGCACTTTTAACTGCTGAGCTATCTCTCTAGCTCCAGATCATGATTTTGAATAGAATATGTATTTTAATAAAATATTAATGATAGAAGTCATGTAAATAAGAGCCTTTTCATTTTACAAAACAGTCACTCTTCTGTGGCAGAGTTTCCAGCATTATATTAAGTCTTAAACATAGACCCCCTTTTTGGGAAGAGAGTATGTTTCAGAATGCCTGACAGATGTCTGAAACCATGGGAGTACAGAGCCCTATTGGGGTTTTTGTTGTTGTTGTTGTTGTTTTGGGGGGGGCTTTTTGAAGCAGGGTCTCCCTGTGGCCCAAGCTGTCCTGGAACTCACTATGTAGACCAGGCTGGCCTTGAACTCAGAGATCCGCCTGCCTCTGCCTCCCAAGTGCTGGGACTACAGGCGTGCACCACCACACCCGGCTTCAGAGCCCTATTTGTAATGTTTTTTTCCTAGTTTATAAATTTGGCATGGTGGGAGATAAACAGAAAAAAAAGAACAGAACAATGATAGTAACGTACTCTAATAAACATTATATGAATGTGGCCTCTCCCCCTCCCCCTCCTCCTCCCCCTGCATCCTCCTTAAATCCTTGTAGTGTTCTTGCCTTTCTTTTCACTGGCTCTTGCCTCAAGTAACTGAAACTGAAAAGGGAAACCATGGATAAGGAGGGTTATTACATTCTAAGAAGTTTTATGTGATCATATCTAAATGGGCATAATGTGGAAAATCTTTTCTTTTTTTATTTAAAGATAGAAATTTTATCCGATACAGCCTTTACATAGAAAACAAACTTCTTGATGCTGTGTTGCTTTCTGTCCTTGCATGCTATCCTCTCCCCCACTGGAACAGGACAAACACGCACTGCTAGATGTGACTCCCAAAGCTGTGGACCTGCTCAATTATACCCAGTGGTTTCCCATCGTGATTTTCTTCAACCCAGACTCCAGACAAGGTGTTAAAACCATAAGGCAGAGGTTAAGTCCAGCTTCTAATCGAAAGTTGTTTGATCAAGCCAATAAGCTGAAGAAAACGTGTTCACACCTTTTTACAGGTGAGTGAAGTTCAAAGGCAGTGTATTCTCAGAAATGAGAAATGAGGGGCCAACCTGAATGTAAAATGCTAAATTGTGCTTAGGACTCATTCAAAAATAGCTAATCTCATTAGGCCAATATGTTAGACCATGGCATTTGTATGTTGAACTTTATGATTTTGACTGTTAAAAATAATCATTAATATCTAAGACATGATAACTAATTGTTCATTTTATTTATCTATGTATTTTCTGAGATAGGGTCTCCCTGCAGCCCCAACTGGCACGGAACTTTTTACGTAGACCAGGCTGGCCTTGAGAGTGCTGTGATTAAAGGCATGTTCCACCATACCTGGCTGGCTGGTTATTTTCATGAGATTCTTGTGGGAGACTGGAGGCTAGTGATTGTACCTAGCTTATCACAGAGCAGAGTCTCTGTAGACTGCATGTCACTGTGTGCCACTTACTGTACATTCATTAACTGACAGTGTGATAGAACTTGCTTTAGGATTACCAGTGTCTCTGAAATGGAAACTTGAATACACTGGATGTGGATTGTTTAAGGATTTATTACTTCTGCTTTTTAGGTGCAATGATACTGTGACTTTTGTTTGTTTGTTTGAACTCACAGAGATCCACCTGCCTCTGCCTCCCAAGTGCTGGAATGTATTCTTTTAAATTGTCTTTTACTTAATACTGATGCAAACTGAATGAAATATTTATGATTATAGCACTGGGGATGTAGCTTAGTTGTCTAGAATTTGCATAGCAATCTGCAGTTGAGAGATGATGGAATGTAGATAAGTCCTGCCAAGCACTGTTGAAGTGAGTGTGGATTGCTGCCCACTGTTCATTAATTAGGCTCTGCTATGTCTGTGTTTAAAATTTTCTCTAATAAGATATTTTTTAAAGTTCCTAAAATAAAAACCCATTGTAGCTGTTACTCGTGATAATGAAATGGTAAAAAAAAATGACATTTTAGTAGCTGAATTATGCACTATCTGAATAACTAATCAGTGTATGAGTATGCTGTGATTAAGAGTTTAAGAAACTGGGCATGGTGGTGCACGCCTTTAATCCTGGCACTTGGGGCAGGCAGATTTCTGTGAGAGTAAGGCCAACCTGGTTTCCATAGGGAGTTGCAGATCTCTGTGAGTTCGAGGCCAGCCATGTCTCCATTAGTGAATCCAGGCCAGCTGCAGCTACAGGGAAACCTTGTCTCAAAAAGACCAAAAAAAAAAAAAAAAAAAAATTTTTAAAAAAAAAAAAAAGGAAAAAGGT